CAGTTCAATAATAAAATAACAACAATAATTATTGAACATAATGCAAAACAATTCAATAATAAAATAACCATAATAATTATTGAATATTAATGTAAAACAGTTCAATAATAAATAACCATAATAATTATTGAACAATAATGTAAAACAGTTCAATAATAAAATAACAATGATAATTATTGAACATTAATAAAACTCATATGATAATTTCAAGCATATACATGTGAATAAATAAATAAAAATTCCAAAAACAATAATTGGATTTTTAATTTTATTTACCACATATATAATGAATAATTCATATGAGAAAACCATAAAATAAACCATAATTTATAGTATTTTTTTTAATCAAAATTAAATCCAATCAAATAATCAAAAAATATAATCATGATTAAAATTAATTATAATTATAATAAATGATATTTATCAATTTTATAATTGAGAATATAACCAAAATTTCTCAATTTCATAATGATAAAAACCGAAAATATTTGATAGGATATAAATCGAAAATATGCGAATGGCAGAACTGTAATTTGGCAGAAATTAGACCCGAGGGCAAAACCGTAAATATCTTGACAGAACATAAACTGTAATTACGATATTTGCAAAGGGTAAAACTGTAATTTTCAAAACCCTAGCCTCGATGGCAAAAACGTAAATATGCCAAAACCCTAATCTGCCATCGCCGCCGCCGCCGCCTGCGCGAGCGGCGCTGCCGCTGCTGCCTGCGGCCTGGCCGCCTGTGCGCGGCTGCCAGCGGTAGATCTAGCCTGCGCACGGCCACTGCCGCCACGGCGCTGCCGCCGCGGGGCTGCTACTGCTCATGCGCGGCCGCTGCCGCTGCGGCGGTTCCTGCCCGCGGGTGGCTGCTGCCAGCACGCGGCCGCCGCCTGTGCACGGCCTACTCACGCATGGCCGCCACCAGGGCTGTCTGCCTGCGTGCGGCCGACCGTCGCATGGACGGATTCTGGCCGTGTGCGACCGGAGTTCTGTGATGCCGTCGCACGGACGGAGTTCTGTGATGTCCACATATGAGACGAGTTCTGTGATGTCCACATATGGGACGAGTTCTGTGATGTCCAGATATGGGACGAGTTCTGTAATGCGTACGCTACTCGGCGTAATCGTAAATTTGCAGCGAGATCGACGGTGACCATTACTGTTTAGCAGTTCTTGGAAGATAAATGTAATTATGCATCGTAAATTTACAGATCTAATGCATGATTTCAAAAACCAGGCTCTGATACCAATTGTGAGCATAAAAATCTGTAATTATGCTATGTCAATAATGCGGAATTAACCTACATGCGAATGGCAGGAATCGTTCCGTAGTGGACTTAGTCTTGGCTAAAATATCGCAACGGAACCCAATTAGTTATTCTATCTTATTCAATTATAAAGGGCCACATATTCTAACACGATCATCTTCGTCTTCTAATTGTTCAGGTTTTGCTTGTTAGAAATGATCTGGAAATGAGACAAGGGAAGATTGCTGCCCGACGCAGGTATTCATCCTCTTGAGATGTCTTGGATGATGTTGTAATATTGCATCATGGTTACTTTGTTATGATTTATGTATTTTGCGTATAGGTTTCAATCCAGTAGAGAGAAAGATTTGATGGTCGTTTAATGAGAAGAGTCAGTGGATAATTAAGATGGAGCTTTCGATAAGGTGAAAGAAGCTTAAAAGTAGAAATAGTAGAAATGTCCTAAACCCATTTCTTAGATCATTCTCTATTTGATACTGCTAGTGATTCTCCGGTTACTCAATGGCTTAAAGTCTAGTGGTTTTCTTGTGCCATAGGTATGCCTCGTCTAGAATCTATAGGAAGGCATCTTTCTGTATTCTATTTCCTTTCCTACAGTCTATTGCTAAACTTTGACGCATATGATGCCACTATTTGCAATAACATATTGCATAACCGTGAGAAAGATGGACAAATTCCATCATGTGTGTATGTCTGATAAGTTCTTTACTGGTAGAGATGAGCTGACATCTTAAGAAAAATTGCTAGATCCAGCATATACTGTTAAATGGACAAATGCCTACTAGTTGTGGTGCTGTCATTATGTCATTGTGACTTGAGGAAATTATATCTACTCATAAACTTTAAGTAAAATTTAACAGTGTAATTTGATGATGTTAGAACTGTCGAAAATTTATTCCTCTGTTTTGGTTCTTAAGCCATTTCATAACTAAATTTGGTTTCTTGCAGTGAGACTAATGAGTTTGATGGACATCATGAGCAAGAGAACAGAGAAACTAGCTACTCAAAAGCATAAAAGACAGGTTCGTCTTTGTTTTTAAAACCAACTAATTAAAACTCAGAGATCACCAAAGGTGAGGAAATGGTGGTCTTTTATTTTTCTTTCTGGAAGGTGAATGATAGTAAAGTCATCAATAGCAACATTTCAAATAACGGTTGATACAGTGTGTGTTGACTGGAATTTGCCAGTCCAACAAACGGTTAGGCGTCATGCCATAGGTTCAATGTGTGTTGACCGTTAGACTGGCAAATTCCAGTGCAACAGTCTAGTACTGATTGATACCTGTTATTATTGATATTTATTGATATCGAATGGATGGATCGACATAACATCGTCTGGTACACTAATACCATACTGGTCCTGTAGATTATCAAAACTAATGTCTGATCGAGATTTAAAACTTGATCAATATGATAGTTGTATAAGTTGTTAGCGATGTTGATTGCCAAAGTTAAAGAAGAAAGAAAATCATTTACATGAATGATCAAAACAATTGACTAGCTGGGATAAATAACCAATACGGATAGGAAAATGTTTGAGCAGTAGATTTGGAACCTCCTATGAATATAAAGGAATTATAGTAATTCTTACTACATTTGACTTACCAATTCTAATTTTTTTTTGGGGAAAAAAAAGTGAAGTCGTGTATAATACTTGTTTTATTCAGAGGTCATAATTGTTCTTGATTAATGACTTTCATGGGCATTTTATATTGGAGGACAATAAAAATTTTAAATGCTTTAAGGAAACCAGAATTGATATAGTCTAATAAACTGAGTTGCTCATGCTATCATCGCAGAATGACATTTAAATCCAAGTTTATACTGGTAGCAATTCTTGAGAGCTGAAACTAATTGTCTGATCTTTTATGTTTCTGCTTTTCAGCCATGCAATGGTGGTTTGTATAAAGAGCTCCTTCGTAGGTCTGTGCAAGCTTTCAGCAGGTACCTTTGGTTATTCTCATAAATGAATTATCTATCTCATAGAAAGTTCCTTGATAGGGATTCAAAAGAAGTGTGCAGGTACCTTTTGGTACTCTTACAAATTTATCATCATATCTCGTATACCTTGCTTTTGCACCTACAAAATCAAGAATTGTCATAATAGAACTTCATATACTGGTTCTAGATATTTTGATTTTATCATGTACAGCTTCTTTTGTCGACATGAGGGAGAATCTAGGACAAGATTGTAATCATAATCAAAAGGGAGATCTTCTGTGGTTACAAGTATATTACAGTGACATGTAGTTTAATCACATTGGTTAACATAGATCTATGACTTTCTTCATCTAGATTTGCACCTTTTTCTGTCATCAGATAGTTCCAGACTCATAAACCTGTTGCCATCTCAAGATGGTATATGGTAGTGGGTCAGTAGTATAAAAGCAAACAGCACAAAGGATCACCTGGTGGTTGAACCCAGTTGCCTATAACATTAAGTCTATTGTCTTCTTAGATGCACAAATTTAGTTGCAATGCTCAAGTAAAAGGGAAACATCGGTGCTTCATGATTTGCTTTTTCCTGCTTGCTTATGGATCTCTGACATATGATTGATAACTGACCTTGTTATCCAAAAATCCTTCCGGACTAGATTACTGTAAGTTGCTTTAATTATTTATAGCACTCGAACAATTTCTGTTTTGTTTGTTTCAATTTTTTTATTCTCATTTAACTCTCTAATTATAGCATATGCTCGTCTAGTTTCAATCAAATGCTATACAAGGTTATTAACTTGAGCTTGAAGTATTTCGGGTTATGTGATTTATGATTGTAAAGTTAATGAGTTAGTTTCTCCATCGGATTGAACGGTTTATAAGTTTGGACCTATATCAAACATAGTGAGGGGGTTCAGGTAAAATAGGACTTTTGATAGATAGGACTTGAGGGAGTTGGAATCACTACTGGTCTGGATCTGATGTATTGCCTACCAGACATGATTTTGACAGTGAAATAAAGTTGGATTGTTCTTGGAACAAAAATGAAACAGGAGTTGTGGTTGTTGTTGGGCAATGGCAATCTCCTTTACCTTTAAGCACAAAGCAAGTTAGAAGATGAGCAGATCTATTCCTATGTACTTTGATCTATTTTCCTCTGTGTGTGTGTGTGGATGGAACAGTCATGGGGTCAGAATAGGTGGTCCATGTGGTCAGATCCTATCTTGAAGGAACAAGCAAGTCATCAGGAGGAAGGAAGGATAGGATAAGGGACCTGTTTGGCTGGCTGCATGTGTTCTTATCAGTAGCAAAGTCCTCCTCATACAAGGAATTGAATCACTATATTGCCTTCCTATCATCTCAATTACCGGAATTGAATCGACTTGATCAAATATCGGTCACTGAGTCACCGGTTGAGCCGATGGATTCATTGATCATATCATTGGTTAAAAAAATAATATTTATAATGTATTACCATTCAAAATAAAATAAATTTGGGATACGGAGCAGAGTGGATATAATATTTTTAAAATAATTATAATAACAAGACTTAAATGCCTTTATAAAAGGTCAAATATCCTTCTTGTTGATAATGAATGAAGAGTTGAGGGCATCTCAGTTTTTTTCAAGACTTAATTAGTGAACAGAACCTAAGTCTTTCTGTTGGCTGTGCCTCCTCTTTCTGCTTGCTGACCTCAAGTAGGACAATCTTCTTTTTGTTGCAACCCTGTACATCCTTTTTCTGTGGCTTCTTCCATGTGCAATGGACATGGTGGGGATGAAGCTCGAGAAAGTTTGGCACCCCCCATGTCAACCTTGATGGTTGTTCGTGTTTCCTGTGATGGGTAGGTGATAGGTCCATTTCACTGTGAGTTTTACAGTGGGATGGCACCCATTCCTCAGCCTTCAAGGCAGGAGGCAAGATGAGATGCCAAACCTGTGAGACAAGTCATTGGAATATTACCACAAAAGAGAAAGAGAAAGAAAGAGAAGGAGAGAAGAGAGAAGGGAGAGAGAGCGAGAGCGAGAGGCTGGTGGTGAACTTAGAATGTCACATCTCCTACGTCACAGCTTCGTCTTTTGTCGATCTGTCACCTCAGTGTGGTTCATCAACGTAAATGAAATGATGTCAGTTCCCGACATTAATAGTGGATCTGACTTGGATCTTATGCAATTCTGACTCAGCTCCACCCTCCCATCCCTGGCCCACATCAAATCCTCCTCACATCTGTCAATTTTGGCCTTCTTTCTACTCCCTGCAGTCTCAGATTCATATGACTGACACAGTCATCAACAACTCTGAGCCACACAAGACTCTCTTCTCGTCTTCCCCTCCGTGCCGCCCATCTTTGACTGTCAAACCTCTTCTCGCTGCTTTCGAGCTTGTCATCTTAAGCAGGAAGTGGTGTCGGATCATGTCAAGGTGCCTCAAACTATGATTCTTCTCGACTTGTCATTCTAAATCCAGCAGCATAATTATTGGAGACCTGTCTGGTTGAAGGTGCTTTTCTCGTGTCCTTTGCTTTGCTTTCACATGGTGGTGGGTGCAGCGTGGAGTAGATTAATATCATGAATAGTCTCAAATAAATCTTCTATCTTTTCCTTTATGAAAGAAGGCCAGAAAGGAAAGGAAAAAGGAAGATTAGCTGACGCATGTCCTCCTGTTGCCACCAGCATCCATCTCCCTTTATAAGCACCCTTCCTGCCCTCTCTTCTCTTTCCCTTTCTCCTCCTCCTCCTCCTCCTCATCTGTGTGCAGGATCAGGTTGATAATAGAGATATGAGCATCTCAAGGGAGAACTGCTACTCGACCCTTGTGCTGTTCCGATTCCTTAGAGAGGTTGTAGTCTTCTTGTCTCTCATGGTCAATTGGCTCTTCTTTCCCTGCTACGACTGGTGGCCTACTTCATCCGCTGAAGACGAAGCGGAAGGAGGCAAAGGAGCAGAGGACAGAGCTCGTCACCGCGCCGCGGCGCAAGCGGTGAGGGAGACCCTCCACGTGTCGACCTTCGGCGAGGTGGCGGGAGAGGAGGAGGAGGCCGGCGCCGTCGCCACGGCGTGCGCGGTGTGCCTGAGCGAGGTGAGCAGGTGGGACAAGGTGTGGGAGTTGAGGAACTGCAGGCATGTGTTCCACCAGGGATGCCTCGACCGGTGGCTCGACCACGACGAGCACCTCAGCTGCCCCCTCTGTCGCGAACCGCTCCTGGCTCGACGGCCGCCGTCTCTTCCACCGCCGCCGCTGGAGGCCAGCTGGGCGGTGGAGCGTCTCCTCTACCTTTTCGGAGACGACCTCCTCCCTCCCCCTTCTTCATAGCTTCATCATCTTCTCCTTGATACGAAGCTCGTTTCCTCTTCCTTCGATCTTGGGGTGTTATATATATATATATATATATAGACACGAGAGATAGTAAGTATATACTATTG